ATTGGTAGTGACATCTACCTAATCATGTCATTACTTACAAGAGGGAAGTGAATGGTGTGGATTAATCTAGCTCTCAGAGATGTGTTCTTTTTAGGCATAGTTGGAAAATCACAGAATGAGCATCAGTGATGCATTGCAAAAGAACAAGCAGATCAACTCAACTACTTACACTTGATGCTCAGAGAAGAACAAAATTCAAGCAATCCTGTAGTCAGTTACGTGACCCCGATTCTTTCTGATCATGCTAGCCAGGTCCGCTGGAATAGTATGAGTAGACTCATTCATCCTAGAAGTACTGTGAATCTTTTATATCACACAGATTCGTTATCAGAAACTTCCTAACCAACACGTAATGGGTAAGATTTTGGAATTTTTTCCTTTACGTGGGAAGGCTTGGTGTAGAGCGTTAATGACAAGTGGCTTGGATTTGTATCCTGGTTTTGGCCCAGACCCATTCTGTTATTTGGTACAAATTACAGATTCGTAGGTCTCAGGTTCAAATTTGTGAAAATAAGAGTATTTTCTTCATTGGGCTGCTGTGCAATTTAAATAAAATTTGTAAAGCTCATTAGCATAGTGTCCTGGTATATGGTTAAGTACTCAATGTTAGCCTAGTGATAATGATGATAATGCAGAATCTGTGTAAAATGAGATGTTGTTGGGTGGGATCAGTGGTGAGTCAGCGTGGCAATTTTTGGGTTCCAGTGCTTTTTTTCTCCTTTTTTTTGTTAGTGAAAGGTAATGGCAGGTTGCTGTGTCTCCTCATCTTGCCTGAACAATAAGGAGGCTTCTCTTTCTAAGTGTACCGATCACCCCTCCCCATCTAGTAGATGTCCATCGATTGCCCACTTTGAGCCCGTCCCCGTGCTGTGCCCTGGAAGTGAACAGCCCTTCACTGAGGATCTTATGACCCAGTGAGGGAGACAAACACATAAATTGATAGTTTTACTATAATGTACTAAGACCTAAGATAGATCACATTTATTTAAGATAAAAGCTCAGCTTTGGTGGCAGAATTGAGTTTAAAGAAATTAAAAGGGTTTGTTGACTATGAATACTGTGTAGCATAGTCAGTTTGAACCATTTCAATCCTGGATTATTAGCACTAGAGTCACTGAATGATCATATTGCTTTATGTGAACTACAGAAGTGAAAACAGTTTTGGTGCTTTGCATGCCTGGTACCTAGGGCTGAGATGACTAGGCAAGCTTTGGGTGACCTTGTGGATGAAGTCAGGAAGTGGGAATAAGTAGAAGTTTCATTCAAGTTATTATGTAGGTTTTGAAATTTGGGACCCCCTGGAAGACCTCACTTCAGCTTTGGCATATGAAACAAGAATAAATATCAGCCATGTTTAGCATAAAATAGACCAGTAATTCCGCTGGTCTGTGAGTCACTGAATCTGTTTGTGGAAATAAAGACTAGCCTGCAGACCTGATGGGAAATATTTATTGGAAGAAACACTTCCAGCTTTATGATATATTAGATCAAGGGCTAGGAATGGATTTGGATTCAGATGCTGGCTCTTCCACTTCCTGGATGTGGATAGGCAGCAACCACTCTGATCTTTGTTTACGTGTAACCTGGGGGTGATGGTACCATTCATAGCATGCCTGTGGGAGTTCAGGTCAACAAGTACAGGATTGTTGCTCAACTCTACAGTTCTCTGTCTTGAAATAATATAAGTACTGGAGAGGAACAGCTGTCTCCCAACTTTTTTGAATGTTCTAATTCAGTTTGGGCACGTGGACATTACATAGCTCACTAAACAAGATTCTAAAGTTAAAAACAACAATGATAAAATAAGTATATGCTAACCCTTCACAAAGCATTTATTCAATAAGCAATCAAGATCCTATGTATTCAGTGTTCTGAATCCTGCTGCCTTGCTTGTATGTGGGTGGGGGGAAAGGAGGTGGTGGGGCAACTACAGGAGAATTCTGCATTGGTAAGAGAAGCAACCTAGAAACCTGTTTAACTTCATAGATGTTACTCATGCCCTGTTCTGATGGGCATGTAGGAGTGAGTCCTGCTTCAAGACTCATTGGCCTTGAGATGATTTCTATGTAGTCATTCGTGATAGCGGTCTTTGGACATTTCTAAAAACATTGCATGAAATTGAATTGACAACTCATTCTGGCATCCTTGCATACTGAGTATCATGAAAATGCATGATGCTCATTTTTGTTCTTCACCACTTTGCTCTCTTTCATGTGATAACCAACTACTGCTATACTTACTGGGTGATGAACTTCACATTAGAAAACAAAATCTTGGGGTGCCTGGGTAGCTCAGTCGGTTAAGCATCCTACTTCCACTCAGGTCATGATCTTGCAGTTCGTGAATTTGAGCCCTGGGTTGGACTCTGTGCTGGCAGCTCGGAGCCTGGAGTCTGCTTGGGATTCTGTGTCTCCCTCTCTCTCTGTCTCTTCCCTGCTCATGCTGTCTCAAAAATAAACATAAAAAGAGAAAAAAATCCTGTGCAGTCGCCATTTCTAAGTTGTCTGAGCCGCAGCCCCTGGGAACAGACATTTCAGAGTATTCACAAAGATCACGAGGGACTTGAAATTGCTTAGAAGGCACAGAGACTATCTGTTTTACTGAGTTATATTTCCAGTCCTTTTGTGTGTTTACATTGCTTTTCTGAAATAGTTAAGACAAGTCTTCATTAACTTAGATTGTGGGTTTGATTGATATCCATCACCCCAGAGTGTTGGACAGGACTTGGGAGCCTGGGATCCTATTCTCAGGTCTTCCATTGACTTGGAGTTACTTCAGGCTTGTGGCTTGATCTTTGTGCTTTTAGTCATGTGGAAATGAGAATATTTGTCAATGGGAAATTTATCAATTTACCAAAGTGCTCAGGATTTGTGAAGGATTCTTCCACTTATATATTTTTTGCCTGGGTATAGAAGTATACTCTATAGAGTTAATATAATCATCTCTGGAGAAGAATGTGTCTCCAGAAAGCATTCAAGGGATGACATCCCTGGGGCTGGGCCCTGTGTCTTTCTAAGGCAGGGGAAATGCCTGGAACTGACTGGGTGATTTGGCTCTACAGTTGACTTCAGAGGCTCAGATAAGAGCTCTGCTGGCTGACTTTGGGCCAGTTACATAATCTGTGTGAGCCTCAGTTCTCTCCCTGTAAAATGAGGTGATTGGAATGATAATGACGGTATTTCAGAAGGTTGTTATGATAAAAATAATTTAATGATGCATGTAGACATCCAACACAGAGCCTGGATGTCATATGCTGTAGGCTTTGTAAGGGTCCCTTTTTTCTCCCAGTTCTAAACAAATTGAGAAAGGAGAGAAAAGAATTGGCAGATTTCAGTGACATTACTACCTTTATTGTTATGTTTTGATCTCAGCTTTTATTCAGTTTTATTGTTATGCTTTGATCTCAGCTTTTATTCAGCTTTGTTGCTGAAATCATAGAGATATAGCTTAGTCTGAGCACCAAATGGGTTCACCAAAACTGCATCCCACAATTGGATAGATTTAATAACAACCAGTCACAGCCTTGGTGAATCTAATGTAGGCTTGTGTTCTTTATAGGCAGGCTGCCTCCCAAAGAGAAAGGAGGAGGTGAGCAAGATTTTGGAAGTGGGATCTGCACAAAAGAGTTTTAAGAAAGCTCTTTACTCTCAATGCACCTTGAGGTTAGGACCCACAGATAGAGGCATAGTATGTATTTTGCAATGCCTCTGTGCCTTTCCAAATGCCTAGATTGAGCATTCTTGCCTTCTCCACTGGGGAAAAATTCCTACTAATCCTTCAGCCCTGAACTTGGGTTTGTCCTCTGTGCAGTCTTCCCCTTTTTCCTCACTTCCCACAAGCAGAACTGTCCAGTCCCTCCTGCATGTAACTCACTACTGTACTATAGACTCAGCTATTTCATAAGACTTATTCTGTGTTGAAATTATTTGACAACTAGTCTATGAACCTTTGTATAAAAGTCCATACACAACATATAGGAAAAGGTCTGAGAGTACAGATTATTAAGGGATCATGCTGAGGAGAGGGATTGGGGCAGAGGAAGATGTTTATTTTTTGTTCCTATGTGCTCAGTTTGCTTCTACATTGCTTTCATTTTTTAAACGACTCTATATTGTGATTGTAACCTAAAAATAGTAATCTAAAAGAGGAAAAGCATTGTGTTGTGTTTTTGCCCTGCATTTCCTCCTGGGGTGACCTCTACAGGTCATCTCAGTCATCACCCCACCCCGATTTTGGACAATCTTCTTCTGCCCTCTCATGTCTCTTCTCCCCCTGCTCTTTTATTCTTCTTTTCCACATCTCCCATGTGGTCAGAGGTATGGTTAGATGCCAGCGAAGGGACAATATTTACTTTCCTCAATCTCAGACATGACTTGGGACCATGAGAGGAACAGGTAGCATCTTTAAAAAAAATTTTTTTTAATGTTTATTTATTTTTTGACAGAGAAAGAGAGAGAGTGAGAGAGCAAGCTGGGGAGGGGCAGAGATAGCGGGAGACACAGAATCTGAAGCCGGCTTTACTGTCAGCACAGAGCCTGATGCGGGGCTTGATCTCATTAACTGTGAGATCACGACCTGAGCTGAAATCAGGAGTTGGACGTTTAACCCACTGAGCCACCCAGGAGCCCCTGGTAGCATCTTTTCTAAATACCTGTTTATCGAGCTGTTACGAATCAGAACAGATAATAGGAAGAGAGACTATTTGTTCTCCTGCTCTAACCCTATGTATCTTTTCTTACACAGGTAAACAGCGGAATTGAAGTTTTGAAGGATGGGTAAAGACTTTCGTTATTATTTCCAGCATCCCTGGTCTCGCTTGATCGTGGCTTACTTGGTGATCTTCTTTAACTTCTTAATATTTGCCGAGGACCCAGTTTCTCATAGCCAAACAGAAGCCAATGTTATTGTTGTTGGAAACTGTTTTTCATTTGTAACAAATAAATACCCTAGAGGAGTTGGCTGGAGGATCCTGAAGGTGCTTCTATGGCTACTTGCCATTCTCATAGGACTAATAGCTGGCAAATTTCTGTTCCATCAGCGTTTGTTTGGTAAGTACCCGTGAAATGTAAGGTTGATAATGACTGAATTCTATTCTTCAAGATAGAGCCCTGTTATTTCTAAATGCCAGTTTAGGATGCATTTTAGTTTTCCCTCTAGCCTTAATTTGCTGTGAGCTGTTGGAGCTGGGTTCTTCTGCTGCTCTTTGCCCAGTGGTGTACTTTCCTGTGGCCTCAGGAAAATTAACATGAGGTAAAAGTAGTCCTAAACTTAATTTCAAAAAACGGCTTTAGAGCCTAAATTAATGTGTGTGTAATCTTTTTAGAGAAGACATGAAAATAGCTCTTTTCCCATAAACAGTACCTAAGTATGTTATCATGAAGAGTTTGCCTTCATGTCATACCATGAGTTCATTAAAGTAGCTTAACCATTGCTCATATATTTACATATATTATTCATTCTGAAAATAAGAATGGCAACTCTAACTTTTTTACCATTTTTCTTTCCTTTTTTGTTTTTATTTTGAACATTGGCTTGAGGATGTTTATTTTTGAGCCTGTTCAAACACAGAACAGTATATTAGCACAGAATCCTTTGATAGTAAGCAATAGACAAAGAAAAAAACACTAAAATAGTTCAAGCTAAAAAAAAAGGTAATTTACTATAAGGGTACTGAGCTGTTTCTCAAAGATCAAGGATAAAATTCATTTTGGTAATTGGGATAAATGAAACCAGGGGCTTGAATTCTGTCAGGATATTCTTTGTGACAATTTCTCTAACATATCTATTTTATTCTGTGTTCACATTAAAGATCACTTTATATCTACTCAGAGAGACTGACCTGACTCTCTTGGTCCTAAGTTTAAACTCTCAGAAAAGAGCCTGATGTTGACCCAGTTTGGGTGTGTTTTCCACCTTTTGCCTAATTGATTTTGGTCAGGAGTTGGGTGATATTTATCCAACAAATACTCATTGATCACTGATTACATACCAGGAACTATTCTAGAGAGTGAATCAAAAAAGTAGGGACTGTGCCCTTATAACAATTTACATCCTGTAGGAGGGAGAAAGACAGAAAACAAATTAATGTACTATGCAAAGAGGTGATAAGTGTTACTGGGAAAAGAAAGTTTTAAATGCTGCTGGGCCAGTTAGTAAGAGAACTTGGTAATAAAACATTGAATTTAGTAATTATAAGATCATAGGTGACACACTGTAGGTATTTTTAATCTAGAAGTTTGGCTAGAAACAGATGGCAATTGTTTCAGGAAAAAACAAATTGAAACATAGATACACACACACATAGTATTAATTCTATATTCTTTGCAATCTCTACTCCTTAAACTATTGTCCTCTGTTTCTATTACATACATTTATAAAAGGTACATATTTTATGTTTATTATATATGTACATAGTTTCAAGAAGTTTGGTGAGGAAATGAAAGGAGACAGGAAGTAGCTAAAAATGGAAGAAGGACCATGGAAAGATTGTGTTGGGCGTGGCAGTGGGTGGTACTGGTTTTGAGGAGTGAGATTAATTGATCTGCTTGTCATTTTGGGGGAAAGAGCTAGGCTGAAGTGAAGATAAAGACAGAGGAGGAGAGCAACTCTGAAAGCTTCTTTGCTTTGTGACTTAGGACACAGGTAGAAATAATGGCCTTAGTGGGGACAGGAAGAGAGACTCCAGTTCCTCAGAAATTTTCATGAGAGAGATAAAGTTTGATATTCTGATAGGTCCATTGGGGTGGGGGAGTAGAGAGGTAAGTGGCCTACCACCTGATGATCTCTGTTTGACTATGAACAAGGAAGAGCTAAAGATAAAAAAAAATAAATAAAGATAAAGGTGGAATGATTGGATGATGCAGGAGGTTTAAGAAAGTGGTTAAGGTTTGGAACAGCGACCCTAGGGAATGTAGCTATCACCTGCCTAGGAACAAACAGAAGCATTACTGATGATCACGGAGGGCTGTTGGGGTTAGCCATTATGAACTGGAATGACATCGATCTGAACTGCTAAGCATTTTTCTTTATGAGAGCTCAGTCACCTGGAACAGAATTTGAGAGTGATTCATCTGGGTGGGGACTGCTCAGGCTTGCTGTATTGGAAACAAAGGATGGGAAATAAATGGAAGGTTCTAATAAAAAAGTTATTGTTTTGATTAACAGGGGTCTGGCTGGTCATGGAAAGGAGGTAAGGAAGATTGCTAGTCTGGGAGGAGTGGACAGAAGCTGGAAGATTGGGTGAAACTGAACAGATGAAATGGAAGTAAGAAGAGGGAAAGGGGTTTATGGGTGTGGTGAGATGCCATGTTGTAACAGAAGTACAGCCAGTCTTTAGTGGTGATTTCCAGCTAGGGCGTGGCCTTTATGAGAGCGAAGGTAAAGTACAGAGACAGGTCATGACAGAGAGGGTATCTAGGAACGGGGTGTTAGTTGGGCCATCGACCACACATTGAACAAGCATGGTGCTATGCATAACATTCACAGGGATAGAAGAGGTTAAGGGTGGGGGGGTAAGTGGGAGAGGGTCAGTTTCCAAAAATGGGTGAGGAGTGCTGGGAGACAAAACCATAGATGTCTGTTACAAACAGTGTCTTGGTGTGTTTATAATTTGTTCAGGAAATTTTCTCTGCGTAGAAAGGGAAGGCAAACTTAGACAAAATATCCAGTTTGGAGAAAAGGTATCTACCTGTATTGAGATTGACTGAGAATCATACAGTCAGGGTCATAGTATTAATAATAAGGGAAGATCATTTGGTTCTGTAGTTTCTACATTTTGTTAAGTTATTTTGTTATAAGATCTTGTGTTTTATACTAAAATCATGTAACAGTAATGGCTTCCTTTTTAATTCTCCTGTTGATATAAGTACTTTAGCCCTGAAAAATCACTCTAGATTTCGGGTGTTATGTTGAGTACAAATTATTTTGAGATAGTGCGAAAATGTGCCCCAATTTTTTTTTGTTTTTGCTTACTATAGGAAAGATTTTCTAATGTAGTTAGCTTTATCACTTCTATTTGGCAATTTCTTTTTTTTTCTTACTAAAACCTTATGAAATTATATGGGATATTAGAGAAGGAATGATAACCTTTGGCACATCTTGGTGATAAGTGGAAAGATAACTGGACTCCTGATTGAATTTTTGAATGAACTCCAAACTTGTCTTCTCCTTCTATCTTTCTGCATCTCTCTTTACTGCCATTATTTCTTCCTTCATTCACAAAATGGTAATTATTTGCACACCTGGGTGGCTCAGTCAGTTAAGCATCCAGCTTCGGCTCAGATCATGATCTTGTGGTCTGTGGATTTGAGCCCCACATCGGGCTCTGTGCTGACAGCTCAGAGCCTGGAACCTGCTTTGGATTTTGTGTCTCCCTCTCTCTCTGCCCCTGCCCTACTCGTGCTCTCTCTCTCTCTCTCTCTCTCTCTCAAAAAGGAATAAACATTTAAAAAATTAAAAAAAAACAAAACCAAAATGGTAATCATTTGCTCCTAATAGTTCTGCCCTTCTCCAGTTAATTCTGAAATTTTCTACTGGAATAATTTTTCTACATGGCTAGATGGCTCCTATTACCTACAAAATAAAATCTAAACTCCTTTGATTGATATCCGAAGCTCTTGATGATCTACCCTGCCTGACTTCAAATCTGGCCTCCTGACATTCCACATTGTACTGAATTATCTGCAGGTTCTCCAATCTGCTGCGTTTTCTCATGCTTCTGTGCCTTTGCCTGTGCGCCCTCCCCCACCCCGCCCTTGGGCATCATGCTCATCCCCTTCTTATTAACTTGGTTGATTTCTCTTTTTCCTTTACATCCAAGTTTAAGCATGATCTGTGCGACACTTTCTCTGACTCCCTCCTGTCAGATATTGTCTTCCCTCCAGCTCCCATTTGTGTCTTCTTGCAACAGCAAGTACAGCAGGGTGCTCTGGAACTGACAGCCACGCAGCATTACTGAAAAGAATCCAAAATGTAACCCAGCACAAGCATTGTTCTTATTGGCTCGGAATGTGATCATTGTTTCCCTCCTGGTTCCCAGATAACTAGCATTTATACATAATCCATTTTTTTAAGAGGCCATATTTAAACCTTTAACAGTTTGCAGATGCAAGCTTGTGGTAGGTGGTGGTGATGATGATAGTGTGTATGTAGGGACGAGTGGGATTGGTAATGGCAAGCACAGAAATTCTTGTTACAGAAATTGGAATGGTTTACAAGATAATCCAAATTCTTTTGTGCCATCAGTTAAAGTTTTTTGTTGTTGTTAATCCTCTTATGAAATGCCAAATAAGAATATCGATAGAATGCCAGTATTCCTTTCATTTCATTAACTTGTGAGTCTTCCCTCACTTATTTTATTATGGAATATCTCTTGTTAGTAGTCTCCAAGAGGACAATACCATATGACCAATTTAAAGCATGCATGAGGAAGAGTGATAATTCTCTGAGTACATAATTTAATGTAGTTTGTTGGTTATGAATTTTATTTTTATGAGGTATAAAGATTATAATTTTGTGGCTATTTAATTAACAGCATGAAGCCTCCTCCTGATTTATAATTTGTAATGGGAATTGTCCCAAACCAAAATGGTGACGCAAGTTGGAAATTGCACGTTATCAGAGACACAAATGATTAAATGCATTTTAAGTTGCTCACCTCTCACCTTTGCTGTATGGTTGGAATAACACGAGAGAGCTGGGTTTCCTGCATTATCAGCACTAAATTTTATGATTTCAGACTGGTCACAGATCCCAAATTTCCCAAATGTGGAAAATAATGTAGGAGCACAGGGGAAATGAGAATTGATACGTTTCAGAAAAGCTTCTTTAGATTTAACATTGAATCTTGTTGAGGTGAGTATTATATTTGGATTTATGAGAATTGAATTCTGTCGAAATACTGTCTAACAGAATGGAGTGGACGATTCCATTGTTAAACAGTGGATGATTCCACTGTTTAAAAAACAAGCGTGATGCATCCTAGCCTTTTGGAGAATTACACATTATACATTGGAGAAATCCATGAATAGAGAAATCCAAAGGTTTCTGA